CCAGACACGGTGTTTCTCCCAGTTTTGGGGGGACTCCTAGGGCTACTCTCCATTTCTCTGCTACAGAAGGTGAGTTTTTGTTCTTTTGCTTCCATTGGATTTGATCATTTATTGATGTGAGTCCATAAATTAGATCATTTATGGGACGTGTGCCATAATGGTCCCCTCTCCATTTGGGACCTCCCATAAGGGGAGTAGTTTCTCTGGCCCTGGATGGTGTGATGTCCCAGTGCGAGTACCTCCAGCTGGGCAAGTCCCTATTGTACCTGCAAAGGAGGAGCATAAGGAGGGGGTGAAATGGGATTAGATTCCACAGGAGACTCTGATAGTGCAGGGGATACTGGGGAGTCAGAAGGAGGTAAGGAGCCCTGAGAACCCCTATCTGGACTTGGAGTTGGGCCATGGGGCCTGGGGACCTTTCCCTTTAATTAAAGAGGGTCTTCGCATGGGTCTGGGGGGCTTTCTGGCTTACTGGATTTTAGCCTGCAGCTGCTGTGTAGGTAGAGCCGGGTTCTGTTGTAAGGCCACACACACTTGCTTATAGGGTACTTAGGACCATTGTCCCTGATTCCTACGGAAAGACAGAGCTGCAGGATGTCGATGAAGCTCACAGTTCCACTCTCTGACCACTTTTCGTCGTCAGCTAACTTGTACCCAGGCCAAACAGTGTAACATAAGATGTCTTTTCCTTTTTAGCTCATCTATCTGAAACGTGTTCCAATTTTTTAAAGCTATGTCCCAGGGGTGGTCAGTGAGAGTAAAGGAAGTGGTTCCCATGGTGCCGAGATAATCCAGCAATGAAAAAAACAGATACCAAAGTCCAGGAGGTCACAGGTGTCCCTGAGCCAAGCTGGACCATGACAGGGTCTGGGACATCCCCTTGAATCCCCATGAAACCAGGGCCCTAGAAGGTCCGGGCATTTGGCATGCACCGTCCTGGGTCTCACGGGTGCTGGAAGTCTCCAGGTCCAACTGAGGTGGCCCCCCCTGCTGGCTGGGAGGCCCGACATCTCGCCAGCAAGCCTTTCCCTGCCTCACTGGTTGGCCATTGGTGATGCCCAATTACAATGCCTGTAATGCCCAATGCAATCCCCACGGCCTGGCATCTACATGACTAAGCATCTTTTGTTCAGCAAAGAAAGCCAGTCGAAGGACCATCTGAAGGAGCTGGAAAATGCATAAGGTCTGGAGGGACAGGGCACTCTTAATGTGTCCCTCAAAACAGACTTTGGCCAGGTGTGGTGGCTCATGCCTGTAATCCCAACACTTTGAGAGGCCAAGGTGGATGGATCACTTGAGGTCAGCAGTTCAAGACCAGCCTGGCCAACATGGTGAAACCCCATCTCTACTACAAGTATAAAAAATTAGCTGGGCGTGGTGGCAGATCCCTGTAGTCCCAGCAACCCGGGAGGTTGAGGCAGGAGAGTTGCTTTAACCCAGGAGGCAGAGGTTGCTGTGAGCCGAGATGGTGTCATTGCACTCCAGCCTGGGCAAAAGAGGCTCCGTCAAAAAACAAAAAACAAAAAACAAAAAACAAAAAAAAAAAAAAAGAAAGAAAAGAAAGAAAAAAGAAAAAAAGAAAATTTTGTAAAACAGAAAACCCGATCAGACAATAAATCACAATGGCCACGAGGTGGCGACCGAGTGCTACCAGAGGGACAGCAAACAGCTGCGTCTGAAAGGAGGCCAGAAAGGTGTGAAATTAAGCAGCAAAACAGCCCAAATACTGAACGTTGAGAGCAACCCATGTGGTTAGGATAATGATGAGCGGTGCAGAGGCAGCCAGAGGACAGCAGCACATATATACACAGAAAGGGTACAAGCAACTTAGAAACCTTTCCCAGAGCTTGACTGAAACAGCCCTGGGAAAAGCAGCAGCAGCCAACCAGGCAGCCTGGCACTGCCACGGTGCCCGCCGCGGGGAAGGGAAACTGGAGTGAACGACGCGGACAAACCTCCATCCGAGTCACGGCACCAGAAACGGTGACGGCTGCTGGGAGGCCTCCATTCTTGTCTTCTTCGTTTCAAAGAATTTAAACAAGAGACACGCAGCCAAGGAGAAGCAGCACAGAGCAATGTATTGCAAAGGAGAAAGAATATTTTGAAAGTGCGACGCAGAAGAGACAGGACGCCCTGAGAGAGAGGATTCAGGGCCGTCTGCTAGTAAGGGCGAGACAGCACAGACTGGCACCAGGGAGTCTTCCATGATTACTCACCGCGGGTGGGCAGAGGCGTTGCTAGGAAACATGTTCGCCGGGGCGGGGGGGGGGGGGGGGGGGGGGGGGGGGGGGGGGGGGTCCTCTGGGTGCACATGCGCAGTACCTGTACCTGCTTGTTCATAAGTTGCATGTCTCATTAGCATCTTATATCTCCACCCAGGGGTGTGTTTTCTATTATAATGAGCAAAGGGTCAGTCTGAGGACAGGGAAAATCAAATATGCATGCTCTCTAGTTGGGGAGGGGGGATTTCTCTCCCGGAGCTAGCTTTGCTTGGATGAGCTGGACCACAAGGCAAATGCAAAGCCTCACTGTGTTGACTGTACAGTGGCCACAGTGGCTGCATCCTAAGGATATGGTCACTTCCTTGACTACCTATCCTGGCTCATAAGCAGAAGTCAAGCCCCTGGGCCAGGCGCCATGCCTCACGCCTGTAATCCCAGCACTTTGGGAAGCCGAGGCAGGCAGATAACAAGGTCAGGAGTTTGAGACCAGCCTGGCCAACACGGTGAAACCCCGTCTCTACTAAAAATACGAGGGGGAAAAAAAAAAAAAAAACTGGGTGCGGTGGCAGGCGCCTGTAATCCCAGCTACTCCGGAGGCTGAAGCAGGAGAATCACTTGAACCCGGGAGGCAGAGATTGCAGTGAGCTGAGATGGCACCATTGCACTCCAGCCTGGGTGACCGAGCAAGACTCCAACAACAACAACAACAAATTTCTTTTTTTTTTTTTTTTTGAGGCGGAATCTCGCTCTGTCACCCAGGCTGGAGTGCAGTGGCGCGATCTCAGCTCACTGCAAGCTCCGCCTCCCGGGTTCACGCCATTCTTCTGCCTCAAGACTCCTGAGTAGCTGGGACTACAGGCGCCCGCCACTGCGCCCGGCTAGATTTTTGTATTTTTTAGTAGAGACGGGGTTTCACCGGGTTAGCCAGGATGGTCTTGATCTCCTGACCTCGTGATCCGCCCATCTCGGCCTCCCAAAGTGCTGGGATTACAGGCTTGAGCCACCGCGCCCGGCCAAAAATTTCAAGCCCGTACCATAATGCTAACCTTGTGGTCTTTCATTAGTTTTACAAAGGCGGCTTTGGTCAGAGTAGAGTAGTTTTGGGAAGAGACTATTATCGTCCTTACTTTATTTTTTATTTGTATTTATTTATTTTTGTTTTGAGATGGAGTTTCGCTCTTGTCACCCAGGCTGGAGTACAATGGCACAATCTCGGCTCACTGCAACCTCCACATCTCAGGTTCAAGTGATTCTCCTGCCTCAGCTTCCTGAGTAGCTGGGATTACAGGTGCCCGCCACCATGTCAGCTAGTTTTTATTTTTTTTTAGTAGAGACAGAGTTTCGTCATGTTGGTCAGGCTGGTCTTGAACTCCTGACTTCAGGTGATTCACCTGCCTCGGTCTTTCAAAGGTATTACAGGTGTGAGCCATCATGCCTGGCCCATCCTTACTTTAAACTATGAACTAAATTCCTCCCATAGTTAGCTTGGCCTATGCCACCTGAGCAAAGGCAGGTTAGCTTGTGAGATTAGAAGCAAGCTGGAGTCAGTTATGTTAGATTCCTCTCTTTTTTTTGAGCAGGAGTCTCACTCTGTCACCCAAGCTGGAGTGCAGTGGTGCAATCTCAGCTCATTGCAAACTCTGCTTCCCAGGTTCACACCATTCTCCTGCCTGAGCCTCCTGAGTAGCTGGGACTACAGGCACCTGCCACCACGTCCCGCTATTTTTTTTTTTTTTTTTTTTTTTTTTTGTAGTTTTATTAGAGACGGGGTTTCACTGCGTTAGTCAGGATGGTCCTGATCTCCTGACCTTGTGATCCACCCGCCTCGGCCTCCCAAAGTGCTGGGATTACAGGCATGAGCCACCACGCCTGGCCTCCTCTCATTGTTATAATCTTGCTAAAGTGGTTTCACTCCTGGCCTCAAGCTATCTTCCTGCCTTGGCCTCCCAAAGTGATGAGATTACAGATGTGAGCCACCAGGCCCACCTACTGCCAATTCTAGTGTAAAGAGTAAATTGGGCTGGGCATGGTGGCTCACACATGTAATCCTAGCACTTTGGGAGGCCAAGGTGAGTGGATCACTTGAGGTCAGGCTGGCTCAGAACTGCGGTCTGGGTGAATGAACGCCTGTCTCAGCCTGGAGTCAGGGCTAGGCTCAGAACGCCCTGGGTGGACGACCGTCTCAGCCTGGAGTCAGGACTAGATTCAGAACAGCCTGGGTGCACGGCCGTCTCAGCCTGCAGTCAGGGCTGGGCTCAGAATGGTCGGGGCGGACGGCCCTCTCAGCCTGGAGTCAGGGCTGGGCTCAGAATGGTCTGGGCTGATGGCCCTCTCAGCCTGGGGTCAGGGCTGGGCTCAGGGCTGGGCTCAGGGCTGGGCTCAGAACGGTCTGGGCAGACAGCGTTCTCAGCCTGGCCTGGGTCAGGCTGGGCTCAGGAACGGTCTGGGCAGACAGCGTTTCCTCAGCCTGGGGTCAGGCTGGGCTCAGAACGGCTCCGCAGACAGCGTTCTCAGCCCGGGGGTCAGGGCTGGGCTCCAGAACGGTCTGGGCAGACAGCGTTCTCAGCCTGGGGTCAGGGCTGGGCTCAGAACGGTCTGGGTGGACAGCGTGCTCAGCCTGGGGTCAGGGCTGGGCTCAGACGACCAGCAGAGGCTTTACCCTGCCATGCCAGGAGCCACATCTCATGACCAGGTCCTGGTCTCCCACACTGGCCAGACGCCTCCATCCGAGACGTCCTGGTCCCTCCGACTGCACAGTGTGACAGCCACCACCCAGCCATGCCGGGTAAGATGCCCAATTAAATTTGAATTTCAGATAAACAATTTTAGCATAAGTATGTCCCCAACATTGGTAAAAATGGCTATTGTTTATCTGAGATTCAGAATAAACTGGGCATCTTGGACTTTTTATTTGCTCAACCTAGAAACTCATGAGTGCCTAAGGAGGTCAAGGGAAATTCGCGACCACCCCAAATCTGTGTCGGACCCAGGGGCAGTCATAATGGGGTGCAGTAGTTGTACCTGGTGACTCAGGCTGCTTGTCTACCTCCTCATGTCCCCCCCTGCCCCTAGCACCATGGTGTCATGCCCTACCCGCCAGTGGGCCCAGAAAGCAGCGCTTTTGCCCAGGGCCATGGTCCTCTAGGCACAGGGTTCAGCCCAAGGAGGGCAGCCCTGGTTCCCAAGCCTCCTGCAGCACTGACTCTCCACTGCAGCTGGCCTGGGGTCTGCAGCTGGCCTTCTGCTTCTGGCCCTGGCTGGCCCTGGCTCACCTCTCCAGAAGGTCTCTGGAAGCTTCTTCCCCACAGGGTCCTCCCTTCTACCCTAATCTTCCCGGGTTCTGGGAAACAAACTTGAGAGGCCCAGGCGCACCCCACCTCTTCTCTCTGGGTCTCCACAGCTTCTCCTCTGCCTCCTCCCCAAGGGGATCACTCCGGCCCTTCCCCTCTCGGCCCTTCCCCTCTCCAGTGACCCCTCTCCACACCCACCCGGCTTCCCCCTTCCTCTGAGCACCCCAGATCCCAAAGGACGAGGTGAGGGAGGCTTTGGAGAAATGTGGCCTGACGTCACGGGTCCCCCACTCTCGGGGGAACCACGCGGCCGGCCCGGCAGTCAGCTCCCTCCCCGCAGGCAGCCCCCTCCCCACAGGCAGCCCCTCCCCGCAGGGAGTCCCCCTCCCCGCACGCAGCCCCTCCCCGCACGCAGCCCCTCCCCGCAATGGCCTCTCCTTTGGCCTCCCGCACAGCCCTCCACGCAGCCTCCATGCCTGGCCTCTGCTGGCCCTCCACCTGGCCTCCCACTGCCACAGCCCCTCCTGCTGCTTCCTCCACCTGCAGCCCCTCCCCGCACGCAGCCCACTCCACAGGCAGCCCCTCACCAGGGTCCCCTCTCCACCCCACGCAGCCCCTCCCACCAGGCAGCCCCTCCCACCCCGCGCAGCCCCTCCCGCACGCAGCCCCCTCCCCGCACACCAGCCCCTCCCCGCACATGACCCCCTCCCCGCACCCGGCCCCCTCCCACACGCAGCCCCTCCCCACACACAGCCCCCTCCCCGCAGGGAATCCCCTCCCCACTGCACGCAGCCCCTCCCACAGGCAGCCCCCTCCCACCCACGCAGCCCCTCCCACTGGCCCCTCCCCGCACGCAGCCCCTCCCCGCACTGGCCCCCTCCCCACACGCAGCCCCCCTCCCCGCACACCCCCTCCCACGCAGCCCCCTCCCCGCCGCACAGCCCCTCCCCGCCGCAGCCCCTCCCGCACGCAGCCCCCCTCCCCGCACGCAGCCCCTCCCCCGCACGCAGCCCCTCCCGCACTGCGAAAGCAGCCCCTCCCCGCACGCAGCCCCTCCCCGCACGCAGCCCCTCCCCGCCTCCCCTCACAGCTGCAGGGGTCTGGGCTGGGATGTGTTGGAGGCAGCTCAGGTTGAAGGCCGGGCAGCGGGCGCTTCTCCCCCAGCCTCCTGGGGCCCGGGCATCACTGGAAGCGGCGTTTGTCCCCACTTTGTATCAATCGCAAAGAAAGAGCACCCAATTGGACGAAAGGCTGCGTTCCTGGCCCAGAGTGGGTGAGAGTGAGCCCCTGCCCTGTGGGGGAGGCTGAGGCCGGGGTCGTGAGGAGTCCCATGCCGGGAGGAGGCTGTAGGAGCACCTCAGTGCGCCTCTTGATACCACGCATGCTTAGCAAGCCCTGGGGACTGTTCTCTCGGGCGGGGACTTCCGCTTTGTAATGACATGTCACTGACTTAAAGGGAACTGGGGTCACCAGCTCTGGTTTGTGCCCATCTGGTGCGTTCTTATCTCCCTGGTATTTGGTAGGGGATCCCAAGCCTCTCCTGGCATGCTGAGACATCTGGAGCTCATTAAGCCTTGGAGCCTGTAGATAAAGAGATTAAAGGAAAAAAGAAAAGAAATCCCGCCCTGGGAGAGTTGGGGCAGGATTAGCCCGGAGGCCACGCCTCTGCGGGGTCTCCCATAGGCTGGGCCAGCCTCTGCCCTCCCTGCCTCCAGAACCCTGAAGGCTGATGGCCTGTGGTGGCCAGTCTCCACCCACCCCAGAGCCCAGCCTAGCAGTAGAAGGCTGCCCACCCCGTTTGAATGTCCCTCTTCCTCCAGGGTCAGCCCGAACGCCACTCTCACGGAGGCCAGGCTGGTGGTGGGGCAGGGAGTTTATCCTCTGCCTGAGGGAGGGTCTGGGGTGCAATTGAGCCTTTCACCCTTTGAGAAGAGTCAGGGTCATGCAGCGTCTCCAGCAAGTGGTGGCAGCAACTGATGGAGTATCCTAATCACAAAATAGGAAGAGAGTTTACAAAATAGGAGCATTTACCAAGAGCCATCCTCTCTCTCTCTCTCTCTCTCTCTCTCTCTCTCTCTGTCTCTCAAGTAGAAGTGGGGTCTCTCTGTGTTACCCAGGCTGCTCTCGAACTCCGGGGCTCAAGCGATCCTCCTGCCTCAGCCTCCCAAAGTGCTGAATTACAGGTGTGAGCTACTGGGCCCAGCCCCAGGCCCTCTTACAGGGGTGGGCTGCCTGGAAACAATCCGGCGCCGTATCCCGACAGGACCCCTGCCACCCCCAACCCAGGCCCAAAAGGAGGGGCCAGGAGGAGAGGGGCCTCCAAGGCAGGTGAGCTGCTTAAGAGGAGCGATGGCTGTGGACAGTCCTGAGGACTGCAGGAGGGGTCAGCAGGATCAATACCCAGCTTATCTCTCCTGCTGGGCTCCTGCTGGGGCTCCCCGTTGGTCACCCCAAAACTTACTGTCTCTCATGGCTTCCGGGGCTGGCCAGGCTCAGCTGCTGGTTCTGCCTCGGGGCACCTCCTAGGTGGAGTCAGGGCGGCTGAAGGCTTCTCCACTCATGCGTCCACTGTCTGGACATCCTGCCCCTGCTGACCTCCAGGACTTGCAGTGTGTGAAGGCCACACCACAGCCCCTCTTCTGCTGCCTCCCTCATGCCTCCCAGAAAGATGCTCTTAACCCCCCATTAGAGGCCCCCATTCTTCCCGACTGTACCTCTTGACACCCTGAGTATAGTTCAAGAGACCGTGAAGAAACTCACAAAAGTGACAATTAGAGGCTCTGAGAGAAAAGAGTGAAGTCACTATGCATTTATTTTTATTTACTTATTTTTTTTTTTTTTAGAGATGAGGTCTTGCTTTGTTGGCCAAGCTGGTCTCTTGAACTCCTGGCCTCAAATGATCCTCCCACCTTGGTCTCCCAAAGTGTCGAGATGACAGGTGTGAGTCGTTCTCTCTGGCTTACTCTGTGTTTTACAGGAGGGATGTGTTGATGAAAGAAAACCAAACTCTAAAATATTTGAAGAGGTTTATTCTGAGCCAAATGTGAGGACCGTGGCCTGTGACAGAGACTCAGGAGGTCCTGAGAACACGTGCCCAAGATGGCCAGGGTACAGCTCGATTTTACACCCTTCAGGGAGAAAGAAGTTACAGGCTGATATGGTTTGGATTTGTGTCCCCCCCGGCCCCCCAGATCTCATGTGGAATAGGTGGAGGGGCCTGGTGGGAGGTGATTCGATCATGGGGTCAGATCTCCCCCCTTCCTGTTCTGGGGATAGTGAGTGAGTTCTCAGGAGATCTGATGGTTTGAAAGTGTGTAGTGCTTCCCCCTTTGCTCCTTCTCCCTTGGGCTCAAGGGATCCACCTGCCTCAGCTTCCCAAAGTGTTGGGATTACAGGCGTGAGCCACTGTGCCTAGTTGAAGCCTCTGTTGATCCTGATTTTTTTTTCCCGTTGCTATTATGGCTGTTTTTCTCCTCTTCTTTTTCTGACAGGTCTCTCACAAGAATTAGCCACATTTTTAAGGCTGGGCACAGTTGCTCACACCTGTAATCCCAGCACTTTGGGAGGTTGAGGCAGGTGGATCATTTGAGGTCAGGAGTTTGAGACCAGCCTGGCCAACATGGTGAAACCTCATCTCCACAAAAAATACAAATATTAGCCGGGCATGGTTGCACAAGCCTGTAATCCCAGCTACTTGGGAGGCTGAAACACAAGAATTGCTTGAACCTGGGAGGCAGAGATTGCAGTCAGCTGAGACCGCACCACTGCACTCCAGCTCAGGCAGCAGAGTGAGACCCTGTCTAAAAAAAAAAAAAAAAAAAAGAAGCAAGAGTTATCCAAGTTTTTAGTTTACCCAAAGAAATAACTAACTTGTATATCCTATCTGATGTGTACATAATTTATATATTATTAATTTCTGATGTCACTTTTATTAGTTTCTTTCTTCTGTTTTTTTTTTTTTTTGGATTCCATTTGCTGTTCTTTCTGTAACTTCCTGTGATGAATGCTTCATTCATCGATGTTGAATCTTTTTTTTTGAGATGGAGTCTCGCTCTGTCACCCAGGCTGGAGTGCAATGGCACGATCTTGGCTCACTGCAACCTCCGCCTCCCGGGTTCCAGCGATTCTCCTGTCTCAGCCTCCCAAGTAGCTGGGATTACAGGTGTGTGCCACTACGCTCGGCTAATTTTTGTATTTTTAGTAGAGACAGGGTTTCGCTATGTTGGTCAGGCTGGTTTCCAATTCCTGACCTCCGGCGTTGGCCTCCCAAAGTGCTGGCATTACAGGCATGAGTCCCTGTGCCCAGCCTGAATGGTTTTTTAATGTATGAAGGTAAGGGCCAATGGGAAATCTTCCCTTTTAACCCCTGACATTTCCATGAAAACTCAACTCAGAAAAGGCAGATTAACTGGAGAAAAGGCACACAGGTTTATTAACGTGTTCACAGGGGAAAACACAGAGTGATATCCCCCACCCTGCAGCGGGGTTCAGACGCTGAGGGACCATCCTGGCCACACAGGCCATGGGGAGAGAAGAGGAATTCTGAGGGCAGTGGAGCAGGGAGCAGAGATTAACTTGTAGACAGTTGTCTTTGGAATGTGGATGGGCCTGAGGGACAGACATTATTATCTTTTGAAAGGGTCTGTTCAGATATGGTGACATTCTTTGTCTTGGGGTAGGGGGAAGAAAATACAATTGTTCTTGGTGGGTTCAGACTTTAGGCAGACGAAGTTTAGAGAACTCCATCCTGACTTTGGGAGAGTCTGTGGGTTGTGGGGGAGAACAGAAAGTTCTTGAAGTTTCTTCAGCATGTCAAAGTGCCATAATTTGAGGTATTGGGTTTTGAGACCTAACAGTGGATACAGTTCTCTCAAAGCATGCAGTTATGGCCGGGCATGGTGGCTCATGCCTGCAATCCCAGCACTTTGGGAGGCTGAGGAAGGCGGATCACCTGAGGTCAGGAGTTCGAGCCCAACCATGGCCAACGTAGTGGAACCTCGTCTCTACTAAAAATACAAAAATTAGCCAGGTGTGGTGGTGCATGCCTGTCGCCCCAGCTACTTGGGAGGCTGAGACAGGAGAATTGCTTGAACCTAGAGGTAGAGGTTGCAGAGCTGAGATCGTGCCACTACACTCTAGCCTGGGCAACAAGAGCAAAGCTCCGTCTCAAATAAATAAATAAATAAATAAATAACTAGCAAGATGTGGTGGTGTGTGCCTGTGGTCTCAGCTACTTAGGAGATTGAGGCAGGAGGACCACTTGAGCCCAGGAGGTCAGGGCTGCAGTGAGCTTTGTACCCAACAGAGGGAAATCCTATTTTCATTTTGATTTCTTCTGTGACATATGGGTTATTTATAAATATACTTGTTCATTTCCAAACAGAGGAGGATATTCTTGTTTTGGGTAATAATTTCTGGTCTAATTGAATTGTAATTAAAGAAGCCACTCTGTATGATTTCAGTTAATTTGTGGAAACTTTTTCATGGCTCATTATGTGATCAATAGTTGTAAATGTTTGTGTGTACTTGAAAAAGATGTGTGTTCTGGAATCGCTGTGTCCAGTTTTCTATGTTGGTTACTTTCTTTTATTAATTTTAAAATTTATTTTATTTTCTAAATTTTTAAATGGAATTTTTTTTTTTTTTTTTTGGTTTTGAGATGGGGTCTTGCTCTGTTGCCAGGCTGGAGTGCACTGGCGCAATCTCGGCTCACTGCAGCCTCTGCCTGCGGGTTCAAGCAATTCTCCCACCTCAGCCTCCCAAGTAGCTGGGATTACAGGAGCCCACCACCACACCTGGCTAATTTTAGTAATTTTAGTAGAGACGTGGTTTCACCATCTTGGCCAGGCTGGTCTTGAACTCCTGACCTTGTGATCCACCTGCCTCGGCCTCCCAAAGTGCTGGGATTACAGGCATGAGCCAGCGTGCCCAGCAAGATCGCTTTTTAAAAGACGTTCTTGGCTGGTGCTGTGGCTTACACCTGTATTCCTTAAGCACGGGGGTTCGAGACTAGCTGGGGCAAAATGGCGAAACCCTGCCTCTACAAAAATACAAAAATTAGCTGGGCATGGTGGTGTACACCTGTCATCCCAGCTACTTCGGGGGCAGAGGCAGGAGGATCGCTTGAGCCTGGGTCAAGGCTACAATAAGCTGTGTTCCCACCACTGCACTCCAGCTTGGGCAACAAAGTGAGATCCTGTCTAAAAATAAAAAATAAAAATAAAAAAATAAAATAAAATTTTCTTTTAGTACAAGTATGTTGGAAGTGTGTTGGTGATAACCTTTCTGTCTGTCTGACAAAGTCTTTCTTCCAATGCTCTTGTTGCCTGTGAATTCGGGGCTATTATCTCTCCTGGCTTCCATAGTTGTCCTTCTCACTACCGCCCCCTGGTGGCTGATCTTTTTCTCTGGCCGTCGACAGGACTTTTTTTCTTTGGTCTTCTGCATTTTCACAGGTGCATGTGGGGTTATTTATTTGTTGACGCTGCCTGAAATTTTCTGGGCTGCCTGATCTGTGGCTGGATGCACTTTATCAGTTCTGGAAATGTCTCAGCTATTAAGTCTTCAATATCGCCTCTGTGCTATTCGCTCAGCTATTTGGGGAACTGTCACGGTGTCTCTGCTATCTTTGTATATTTCTTACTTTTTCTCCTTTTGAGTATGGATCGGGCACTGAGGGGAAGGTCCGTCAGAAGGATTTTCCACAGATCCCTCTGCTCCCCAGGTGGGAAGGCAGGTCCCAAGTTTTCCCCTTGGAGGAGGCTGGTTCTCCCAAAGGGACCTGGGTGCTTTCTGGAGAGGCAATGGTGGCTGTGTGTTTTTAAATTGTGGACCAGGCCGGGTGCAGTGGCTCACACTTATAATTCCAGCATTTTGGGAGGCTGAGGCAGGGGGATCACTTGAGCCCAAGAGTTCAAGATCAGCCTGGGCAACACAGTGAGATCCCATATCTATAAAAAATTTTTTAAAAAAATAGCTGGGTGTAGTGGCGGTGCCTGTGGTCCCAGCTACTTGGAAGCTGAGGCAGGAGGATCGCTTGAGCCTGGGAGGACTGCAGACTTGGCATGGGCCTGGGGGCCACGGCCCGTTCTCTTGTGCTTGTCTCCTGGTTGTCTCCGTGTACACACTGGCTTCGAGGTTCCCTGGGGAGGGTCCGAGGGGGTTGGGTGGGGCTTCCTGTGCCAGCCGCCTTCCTCTCTCGCCCACAGGGCAGAAGTTCAGCTACACTAGCAAGGGCTGTGGCCCTCCCCATGCCCAGATTATGAACCTCACCCACCCTGTGGTCCCTGGAGGGTCTCACCCCACAGAAACTGAGGATGGACTGATCGACTTGAAGACTGAGAAGCTGGACATGACCTGCTGTGAAGAGAGCCTCTGTAACAAGGGCGTCAAAGGGGCAGAGGCTGTGGATGGGGGAGGCGGCACAGGGTCCTGCCTGGGCCTTACCTCCCGAGGTCCCCACAGGGGCAGAGTGGTGGGGGGCCGGTGAGGGGCAGTGCCAGGACCTGCTGCCCACCCTCCGGAGGCTCATCCGTGGGCAGATGCTGGGAAGCAGGGGCCGGATGGGGCTGCGGAGAGGAGGGCGCCCAGTTCCGGGCCGGTGTGGAGACTGGGAAATCCCCAGCGGGAGGCTCAGGTTCAGAGCCCTGAGATGAGCCTTCCTTCCTCTCCCTCCCCTCCCCTGCAGGCTGAGGTTGGGAAGGAGGTTGAGGCTGCAATGAGCTGCGATTGTACCACTGCACTCTAGCCTGGGTGACAGAGGGAGACCCTATCTCAAAAAACAAAACAGGCCAGGTGTGGTGGCTCACGCCTGTAATCCCAGCACTTTGGGAAGCTGAGGCAGGCAAATCACCTGAGGTCAGGAGTTCGAGACCAGCCTGGCCAATATGGTGAAACCCCATCTCTACTAGAAATACAAAAATTAGCTGGGCGTGGTGGCACGCGCCTGTAATCCCAGTTACTCAGGAGGCTGAGGCAGGAGAATCTCTGGAACCCGGGAGCCGGAGGTTGTGGTGAGCCGAGATCGTGCCATTGCACTCCAGCCTGGGCGACAAGAGCACGACTCCATCTCAAAAACAAAAACAAACAAAACACCAAATAATCCCCCTGCCAATAAACTGGGGACCATGTGCATAGAGGGTATAAAATCAATTGAGTGGGACACAATTGATACTTTTCAAATAAAGCAGAAGGCATCACATGAAGTGAGGATAACTTGCTGTGTGAAAGCCGTGCTTTCATCATCCATCGACACACACAGTGCACACCTCTCGGGGATGCTTGTGCTCTGACTGGCATGTAACATGCACTGCTTATGGACCGTCAGCTTAAAACATATATTTTAAGATTCAAAAATACAACAAGTCAGTATCCCTAGCAATATTCTAACTTCTCCATTGCTTGGTGTTACGATGTCTGGCTCAGCCATCATCAGGCCCTGGGACCTGAGCAGTGTGACTGCAGGGCCAGCAGAGTGACCCGCGGACCATGGGCCCTGCTGGCACTGCCCCTTCAGGTCTGACCTGTGCTCTGGTGCACTGCTTGGCGGGGCAGTCAGGCCTCTTGGGCCCGCGTCTTGCCCACAGCTGCCCCGAGTCACTGGGGAGTCTTTTGTGCCTGCCGCCTCCATCTCTGCCCTTGTCCTCCCTGCTTTCAGGAGCCACCCCCACCTGCCCTTGTCCTCCCTGCTCTCAGGAGCCACCCCCACCTGTCCTTGTCCTCCCCGCTCTCAGGAGCCACCCCCACCTGTCCTTGTCCTCCCCGCTCTCAGAAGCCACCCCCACCTCACCTGGCTTATCCTCTCAGATGCCATGGAGTCTCCAAGCAGAGACCCCTGAGGGCACAGAGTAGATTCTGCTTTTTGGAGGGGACCTCCCACCTGAAAGGCGACCCATTCTTATGCGGGTCTGCTGCCTTTATCTGTCTTCATCAAGGGCTGTCCCCGCAGTCCAGGCAGCCCTCTCCCTCCTTCTGCCCAGCACCTGGTGGGGGGGCAGAGTCTGCAGTCACCCCTGGCCCACCTTGGCCCATTTCCTGTGTCTTCTGATTCCCCTGAAGAACAAGTTCGGGTGTGGGTGTGATGGGGGTGGGCAGGGGGCACTGACTAGGAGGGACAGGGGTGGTTCCAGGAGTGGCCAGGACCACCCCCCGAGGGAGCCCCCATGTCGCCCCACCCCGTTACAGGGGCCTCTGCTCCCTGCACAGAAAACAAGAGGTGCCTGGCCTGGGGTCTCAGTGTCAGAGCTTGTTGCCCCACTGGCCCCTCCCAGGCTCTGTCTGCACAGGGGCCTGCCAGTGGTGGACTCAGCCAGAGACCCTCATGCTGAGTGGGATGACCTGAGTCTCACGGCTGCTTTTCTCTCTTGCTTCTGACACCAGGAAGCAGCTTGCTCCTGATGCACCAGGAAACTGAAACTGAAACTCAGGGCCCTAGTCCAGGACCCTCCTCTCTATTGAGTCACAATTTCTCCTTCTAAGGCAACCTCCCACCCCAGGGGACAACCTCTCGCTTCTCTCCTCATGGCAGCCCCTCCTCCTTCCGGGTCTGTTCTGCTCACACCCTGAGCTCTGGGAGGCCCCAGGCAGAGAAGGGGTGGGGTGGTGGGGGGGTGGTCTTGCTCGAGGTCACGTCTGCCTTCCAGAGCAGCCAGGTCAGGACTGAAGGGTTTCTACCCCTCAGTTCCCGTACTATGAGATGATGGGATGAGACCGTCGGCTGTGTGCATACTACACAAGCAATCTGGGTTCCTCCTCATAAACCAGACGTGGGGCAGAGGTTCCCAGGCTCGGGGGTCCAAGGCCTCCCCTAGCTCTTTCCAGGCTCGGAGCCTCTGTGCCACACCTGCCCTCAATGCACCCACACCCAAGACCATGAAGGTCACCGGCCACTGCTGCTGCTGGCACAGCTGTGGGTGAAGCCCTGTAAGTGGGGGCTGAGGGTGGACAATGGGAAGGAGGCCTGAAGGTGGGAGTGAGACCCTCTTGATGCTGGGGGCTCCAGATGCCAGCAGGACCCTGCCCACAATTGTGAGTAGCCAAGGGCACCTGAGCCTACCTGTGTGCTGCCCAGGCCTGCTGCCTGTGCTGGTGAGAGGGGCTGGAACCCACCCTTCAGCCTGCGACCCTGACCTGCACCCTCCCCGCCCCACCCCGAGTCAGGGCCTTGAGTGCTTCCAGTGCTATGGTGTCTTGGACCCCAGCCTGTGCCACCCGTCTCCGACCCCATGCAGGCTCAAAGCTGCCCCTCCTCTGTGGTCACTGGCACTACCAATGGTGGATCCGGGTGGGACCCGGCATCTGTAAGCAGGTAAGGTGGGCAGGGCACTCTCAGGCAGCATCCCAGCGGCTCTGCCTTGAGCCCCCTGGCCTGGTGGAAGCTTGGATCTGGGGACAGAGCTCAGGGACCTCCATCTAATGGATCACAGACTTGGCGCGGGAGCCTGGGGCCGCCCCCCCCCCCCCGTTCTCTTCTGCTTGTTTCCGTGTCCCCACTGGCTTCAAGGTTCCCTGAAGGGGGCGGTCCTGGGGCAGGTCTGAGGGGGTCCGGTGGGGCCTCCTGTGCCAGCCACCTTCCTCTCTCGCCCACAGGGCAGAAATTCAGCTACACTAGCAAGGGCTGTGCCCCCACCCCATGCCCAGATTATGAACCTCACCCACCCTGTGGTCCCTGGAGGGTCTCACCCCACAGAAACTGAGGATGGACTGATCGACTTGAAGACTGAGAAGCTGGACATGACCTGCTGTGAAAAGAGCCTTTGTAACACGGCGGCCGGCGTGGCCTTTGGGGCCTGGCTGTTAGGGAGCTCCTGCTCAGCCTGGGCCTCTTCCTTTGGGCCCTGCCGTGAGCCCAGCCCACCCTGGCACTGCCCCTGGTGGGTAAATAGGAGCGCAGGGTGGTTGCCCAGTGCAGCCCTCAGCTCCTGCCCTGATGCCCTCGCCTGGCTGCCCAGCGGCCCAGAGACCCACCTCACCCAGCAGCCTAGACGCCCGCTGGCCCAGACAGTAAATGCACGTGTTCAACCCAAGGACTTTGTTCCCTTATTAACCCTTGGGGTCTGATCTGTGGCCTTCAAGGGGGTCCCAGCAAATTCCCCAGGGTGGGGTTCAGAGACTGGAGGGCCTTCCCCGGGTGGCCCAGCCCTGTGCTCATTTCCAGCCAGGATCAGGCTCAGCCCCAGCCCGAGGTCCAGAAGCAGCCCGGAGGGTCTTGCACTCAGGGCTGGGGTCCCCCAGGAAGACTTGTTGGGGGCTGACAGAGGGGGCGGAGGGGTGGAGGCACTAAGGGTCCAGGCCAGCTGTGGCTGCCGGATGTGTGAAACCGTCCCGGGCCCACAGGCTGGTGACTCCTGCAAGGCACCAGGCACCGCAGAGGGCGGGGGTGTCGAGGGGGCAGAGGCTGTGGATGGGGGAGGCAGCGCAGGGTTCTGCCTGGGCCTCACTGCAGGAAGTCCCCACAGGGGCTGAGTGGTGGGGGGTGGGTGAGGCGCAGCGCTGGGGCGGGCTGCCCATCCTCCAGAGGCTCATCCACGGGCAGATGCTGGGAAGCGGGAAAGCGGAGCTGGATGGCTGTGGAGAGGAGGGGGCCCAGTGCGGGTCGACGTGGAGACTGGGAAATCCCAGCTCCTAGCAGGGTGTGGTGGGCCCTGGGCGGGAGGCTCCGGTCCAGAGCCCTGAGACCAGGTTCCCTTCCTCTCCCTCCCTCAGGCTTCAGGAAATTGAAACTCAGTGCGCTGGGCTCCTCCCTTCTCTGCTCCAGGCCCAGGACACAACCCGGGCTCCCTCCCTCCCTCCCTGGGCTCCTGGAAACCACCTGTCCTTGGGGGGCCTCCTGCCTCCGGAGGGCGGAGCAGCAGGAACCCGGCGGAACCACTCTCTCCGCTACCCGCGGGAGGTCAGCGCTGCCTCTGACCCCAGCCCTAAACCCAGAGCAGAGGGAGAGCTGGGCCCCGAGTTCCAGATCCCAGGAGGACAAGCAGCTTCCACTCTGAGACTGTCTCCCCTGGGGAAACGAGGGGATGACTGTGCCCTCGTCTCAATGTGGTTGCGAGACTTAGAAACCAGTGAGCTCACCTGGGAAGTGGAGGAGATGCCAGAGATGGAAGCGAAAATTAGCTTTAGCAGAAACCAAGCATTTGTTAGAAATTCTATCATCACCCAGCGCCCACCATGTTCCTGTGTCCCTGGAGTCAGATCCAGGTTCCTGGACATGGCTTTTGGGAGCAACTTCCTCTCACCAGCTCCACTACGATCAACTAGTCTGTCTCTCCAGCAAAGCCACCTGTGATTCCAAGTGAACAATGCAGCGAATGCACTGCACACTGGGACCCGAATGCCGGGATCTCTGTCCTCCTGGCTACCGTGCCCAGGCTCCGGGACCATCTGGTTTCCACCCTCTGTTCTCTGCTTGCATTTCTCAATGCTAGAGCAACCCACTCAGCAAATCCAAACTCCCCACAGAATCTCAAGCTCAGTCTCTGCAGGGTCCGTCCACAGGGAGGGGTGATTGGCGGCAGGCCCCTCCTCCCGGTGACCCCTTCCAGGTCCTCTTGCTCAGTTACAACGGGCCCTTCTTAGGTGGCAGTAATGATTCGTGTGTTTCAGACAGGAATCACTACCTCAGGGACCCAGGAGGAGGACACAGGTCCTTGACCTGCCTTGACCTCAGGGACCTGGGAGGACCCGGCTATTCACATCAGCTGCCAGGGGTGGGAATCTTGGGCTTCCATGGTGACCACCGGCCCCTCCTGCTGGACGGTGCCCCTGGAATCTTGACACACACAGCACAGTTTCTGGCCAGCCGGGGAAATCCAGGGTCGGCGCTGAGTGGCTGAGACCCTGGTCGGCTTCCTCCCGTTGTCCCAGAGAAACGAACAAACGCACCTCCATTGGGGTCTGTCCTTGTTTTCTCTCCAGCCCAAAGAGCCTGCTGGGCTGTGCACAGCACCTGCCTGCAGATGGTGGCCTGGGCCGGGCTCCTCTGTCAGGAGGCCGCCACCTGCTTGCCAGGGGGAAGCGGGCAGCGCTGCAGTCCAGGCATGGATGGGTCAGGGTTGCTGCCCCGAGCTTTTGCGTGGGAGCCCCCTGCTCCTCCCACAGGCCACTCACTGAACTCCTGTCTGTCCTGCCCCAGCCCAGCTTTTGTGCCCTCTGCACCAGCGGGTCCAGACAGACACCCTCCATTCCCAAGTCCTAGAGAGCCCTGGGCGCTGCCCCAGCCTGAGCGTGCTCCTTCTCGCACCCGCTTTCTTTCCTCCATGCCCCCAGACCTCCTTCTGCTGTGGGAGGCCGAACTCACTCGACCTGCTGAGCCTGGGGCAGGAGGAAGGGCAGAGCGCTGGCGAGGGGCTCCTCGGAGGCCAGGCAAGCTGCTGGCTATGGCTCAGGGGACAACTCCTCCCCGACCACCCCCAGGCCGTACCACAGAAGACCCCAGAACCTTCCAAACCTGGGGTGCTCTGCCTTTTCCCCCATGGGGCAGCCACGCTCAGAGCAGGAAGCTGGGGGACATCTGTATTTATTTGAGGCACCGCAGCAGCAGGAGGGCTCCAAGGTAGGGGTGGGCTGGGGCAGGACTGGCTGGAATTGGGGCGGGGCCTAGACCTGGAAGCGGCAGAAATCCCAGCTCCCAAAGGCTGCCCTTGACGGGCATGTGGCTGTGCCAGGGCAGGGGCTACAGGAGACTGAGGCTCTCCAGGCTGCTGGCACCCCTCCCTCCCTAAACACCGCCCCCAGAAGCCACCACGTGCTCCCACATGCACTGCACACCCACGTACACAGCTAGGCACACATCCCTACTGACACAGCCTCCCTGGGGGCTGTTAGCGTGTCCACGGGACTTGGTCCTGACGAAGGACCCTAAGACTCCAGGGAACCCTCGTCCCTTCCACAGTCCCCCAAGGAAGGTCACATCATCGACCCCAGAAGTAAGGGCAGCTGGCCCCACTTGGGGCAGAGGCAGGGGCTGGGGCAGGTGGAGGTGCAGGGGGTGGGCCTGACCTGGGACCAAGGGCACAGATCAGGCACGTGAGAAGTCAGGGGCTCCCATACCCTGTGGGATCCAGAAAGGGCTGGGCTTTCCTTCGTGAGCTGGGGGATCGGGGGACAGGGTCTGGGCAGTCAGGGGCCGAACCGCAGCAGGGCCGGCAGCAGGCTCAGCAGCAGCCCGGCGCCCAGCAGGGTAGCGCTTGCCCGCAGCCCGCCGTCAGCTGCACTGAAATTGCACAGGAAGCTCTGGCAGCAGCTGATGCCCATGGAAGCCACACCAACATTGATGCCTTCTGGGAGGGGGCAGGCTGGGGAACAGGTCTTGCTCAGGCTGTGGCCAAATGTCACGAGATTCCCTGCATGGGAAATGAGGCTGTCAGGGGAGAGGCAGACGGCTGCAGGCAGACAGCAATGGCCTCTGCTGAGCCCCAGCCTGGGCCAGGGAGACGGCCAGGGGAGGAAGGCGTGGTGTGAGGCCTGGCACTCACCAATGCCGGCACTAGTAGACACGGTCACGCAGTAGTTGTCCCCATCGGAGCAGATGGTCGGCTTCAGGCAGTACAGATTGCTCTTCTGGTTCAGGCAGGAGAAGCACATCAGCGAGCTGGCTGTGGAAGGAGGACACACCTGTCTCAGGGAAGCCTCCAGTGTCCCTCCCAGGCCTGACCCCAGTGGACATTTACTGAGAAATTACTGTATAGCAGCCCTTGGGGTGGAGGCAGAACGAAGACAGTGACACCCTACCCTGGCCGTCGAGCAGCTCAAGTGGCACCCAAACACACAGTGAGACAGTGTGGCCAGGCTGGGTGAGCCCTCTGCTGGGAGCGGCCTGGAAGGACCCCTGGGGAGTCGAGCAGGGCACAGCCGGACAAAGTTCTGGCGTCCCTGAGGGCACCTCACCTTGCTCCACACCCAGAAGCGCAGCCAGCAGCACCGGCAAGAAGATCTTCATTCTGGAGAGGATGGCCGTCCTGTCCGGAAGTCACAAGGAGCAGCCGTCCTGCTCCAGAGAGACACCGCTGGTTAGGGGGCCGGGTGGTGCCTCGCTCCTCCCCAGGACCATGCACCCCCACTTTGCAGATGAGGACACAGACAGCAAAGAGGGGCAGGGACCTGCCAGCACACAAGAACTTCCCTGCTTCTCTCCCGACCTGCCCCTCACTCAGTGCAGGTATGCTCTAGGCTATACCCCTCCTGAAACCTGGCATGGGCGCTGTACAGTCAAGAGGAGGAAACTCACCAGCCTTCTCCGAATCACAGAGAAGGAAGCAGAGTCAGTGGCCTCTGCCAGTAGTCCTGGGGTGGGGGAATGGTAACCAGTAATACTATGAGCTAGTCTGGGGCTGGGTACGGTGGCTCATGCCTGTAATCTCCACGCTATGTGAGGCCAAGGCAAGAGGATCACACGAGGCCAGGGGTTTGAGACCAGCCTGGGCAACAGAGTGAGACCTCCTGTTTCTATACAAAATACAAAAATTAGCTGGGCGTGGTACGTGCCTGTGGTCAGCTACTTGGGAGGCTGAGGTGGGAGGATCTCTTGAGCCAGGGAGTTCAAGGCTGCAGTGAACCGTGATCATGCCACTGCACTGCAGCCTGGGCAACAGAGTGAGACCGTCTCAAAAAAGAGATCTATATACACATTTATATGTGTGTCTGTCTGTGCATATTACCTAATCTATATCTAGAACTTTTCTTGGGACAGCTCAGTGTCTTGAGCCCAGGCATCTCCCCTGACATGGAGACCGGGGGCCGTGTGGGGCATGGCCCAGGGGAAAGCACTCCCCATTCCTGATGTTACTCAGTTCTGAGGACAGCAGCCCACTAAGTATCTGCTACTCCCCATTCTGTGGCTGGGAAATGGGCTCCAAGAGACCAGGCTGCGTGCCACCGGTCCCACCAGCAGGAAGGGGCCAGATGGGTCCAGGTACTGCTCCTTGGCCTCTGCACAGGACCCTCCGTTGGGCAGGGGCCCATGGCACTGTTGGAGAAAGAATCTGGAACACGCCCTGCTGGGGTCGTGATTCTCTATTTTGTGAGTGCATGGTGTTGGAGGGGGAGGCTGCTGCCTTCTGCCAGGGACAGCCGTGGGCAGAGGAGGGGGAGGGACATCCCGGGCCTGGGGAGCTAGTGCTGGGCACTGGGGGTGAGGATGCCTCAGAGAAAAGATCTGGAGAGGGGCCCGCAGAGGCCCTAAGGGGAGAGCAGCAGGCCAGGACCCTGAGACCTGGGCTGACATCCTGGGGTTCGGAGTGGGAGCCCCAGATGGCCAAAACCAGTGCCAAGTCCAGCTGGGGCCTGTCCCCGCCTACAGGGAGGGGCCCGAGGAGGAAGGATCTCCAATTCCTTATCCCCCCACCCCCGAAAAGTGAGGTTCTGGTTTGGGGGTCCCTGACCTGTCTCTGAGGAAGTCCTAGCATACAGGGCCACAAACAGGTACAGTTGGTGCCGCCATCTGCCCACTGGGTGGCACCCAACCCGCCGGGCCACCAGGCTGAGCTAAGGCACCGGTGGGAGCACAAGGCAATTAGGAAGGCCGGGTGGGCTGTGGAGCCCAGAGGGAGCCGGCAGGCCGTAGGGGGCGCCCGTGGGGTCCAGGCTGCAGGCTCGTCCCCAGGCTCAGGGAAGCTGGCCCCTGGGAGCCAGGTATCTAGGGGCTGCCCAGCCAGCAAGAGGCGGGAGCCTCTCCTGTGGGAATGGGGAGCGGCCCGGCGGTCCACTCCGGGAGGCTGGGCTCCTTGGACCTCACCGCAAGCACCACCAGTGCCAGAACAAGAAGCGGGGGCGGGTTTCAGTGCTCCGGGGTGATACGCGGGGGAGCGGTCAATCCTCCCTTTCCGGCCAGGAGCTCTGCAAGGTCCCGTGCCCCCTCCCCTAGTCAGCAAAGCTGTCACTCCCGGCCCACGCTGGGGAGCCAGGAGCGTCTGGAGTTGGGTGATGGGCTCCAGTGGCTGCGCAGCCCTGGGCCGGCCGGGAGACTCCTGGCGGCAGTCTCCGCCCGCTCCCGCCCCAGATCTTTGGAAACATTCAGGGAAGCCTTGGGGGGGGGGATGGGAGGAGAGGTTCAGCTCTCGCGGGACCAACCCACCGGCAGCCCCAGCCCCTCTCCTGCGCCTCCCCGTGCGCCCCTCTTGCTCTCTCCCACCGTCTGCAGCCCCGGCCCCCGCAGGGCGCCTTCCGCCGCGCGTGGCTGGGCCGGGGCCGCGTGCACCGCAGCCGAGGCCGCTGGGTCTGAGCGCGTGCGCGCAGGTGTCGGGGCCGTCCCGGTCGCGGCCCCGCGGACTCACCGCCGGGCGGACGCAGGTACCAGCAGTCTCGCCGAGCTCCCCGAACCTCGCGCGCTCTGGACCGCTGCTGGACCGCAGACTCCCAGGCAGCCCGCGCGGCCCCGGGGCGGGGGCAGGGGCGGGGCGCGGGAGGGGCCTCCGCGGGGCGGAGTCGGCGAGTCCGCGTTGGGGGTCCCCTCGCCGCCCAGGCCTGCCCCAGCTTCTTGGGACAGATGGGGAGGCTGAGGACCAGAAGGGGGCTGAGACCACCCCCCAATTTCCCCAGCGAGGTGGCGCCTGAGCCACGGCCAAGCCCGACCTCCTTCCACCCGGCCCTGCTGTGCGCGCGGCGGGTGCTGACCTGGCGAGGCCGGACAGGGGACCAGGTCGGGGTGAAGGTCACTGACACCTGGACTTGTGGCCAGTCCTCGTTGTGATCGGAGTGGGAGGCCCACGGGTGAGCAGACGTGTTTTGGGTGTGAGCACGGAGGAGGGGTGCCTCGGAGAGTGTCGGGGAGCAGTGCTGGGGGTCTCGCCTGCGGAGTGGAGCGGGGGAGGGGAGGAAGCAGGCACCCCTGTAGCCTGGGCTTCCTGAGGTCATCTTGTCCCTGCTCCCCGCTCCAGGCTGGGCTGTGTCTTGGCCATCCCCCCGGCGGGGGTGGGGAGACCGGCAAGGGTTGGGAGGTGGGAGGTTGTGGGTTCTGGCTTCTGCCAGGGCACTGGGCTCTGCCATTGGTGGGTGCCTTTCCTCCCGCCAGGCCCTCTCCGAGGGTTTGTGGGCACTGGGGCTCTGCCACTGGCCTGTTCTCCAGTTGACAGTGAGTTTCCTTTCTGGGTGACAGGGCGAGCGCCAGGGAGGGGGCTTCCGAACCCCACACGGAAGTAGGGGGAGGGTGTGGGGAAACGCGAGGGTCGGCAGGTGGTCGTGTGGCCAGGAGGGGGCTGGGGCGGAGAGACACCTGTAACACCCATCTCAAATCTAGGGGTGCATTCAGTGTGGCTGTGTATGTGTTTTGCATGAGTGAGTGTGGTGCGTGTGTATGGAGGCTGAGGCTGGGGCTATGTGTGTCATGAGATGTCCTGGCTGTGGTATGATGGCACCGTGGGTGGGGCTTCCACAGCTTTGGGGGTGATGCCCCAGCTGTCTCTGGGGACTGGAGCCTCCAGGAGGCTGTGGCCCTGGGGGAGTCCAGGCCTCTAGGTCTTAACTGGGGCACAGGCAGGGTGTCTTCCCCTCTAGAATGTTGGCGGTGAGGGCAGGGGGTTCTCTCTGCGCAGCCAGCACCTGGGGCCATCTGTGCCACCGCAGGGGCTCAGTAAGAGTTGTGGGATGAGAGCGTGGGTGGGTTTGCCCCCTTCAAGACAGTACCGTCTGATTCAGAAAACAAGCTGCATTAGGAAGAGGGCTGTTTAGAAAAGACTCTCAAACCATTTATCCTGTCTCTCACTCAACACCACACAGGAGACATCAACACAGAAGACTCCCACGACTGCTGGGGCCAAATGTGGGGGGTGGAAGTCTCCCCACCACCAAGCAAGCCGTCATTTCTGCAGCGGACACCAGCTGGGTGTCCTCCAACACCATTCCAACACTGTACAACACTGTACCTGGAGATAGCGTCAGATCCCACAGCGTGAAGTGCTCAGCCCGAGACACCTACACACACACACACACGCACCCCAGCTGGGTGTCCTCCAACACCATTCCAACACTGTACCTGGAGATGGCTGTCAAATCCCACAGCGTGAGCGCTCAGCGTTACCTACACACACACACACACACACACACCAGCTGTTGTACCTGGAGATAGCGTCAGATCCCACAGCGTGAGCGCTCAGCCCCAAGACACCTACACACACACACACACACACACACCAGCTGTGAGGGCCAGCCTCTGGAACTTCTTGCCGACTGACCCGATGTTGAGGTTCCCACTGTCAGAGGAACCCCTGCTCACCAGGCCTCTGGTTTAGTGAAACATGACCAGAGTGACTCCATCTTGAAGTAAGTAGGAGGCACTCACAAGGCACCTATAAGGTTAATGCTTATGGTCTAAAAATAGCCACGTCTCAAGCTGCACCAATTATAATTACAGAATATTTATGGCCATATGAGGGATATCCCAGCAAGCCCGTAGACTGTCCAGATAACCCGAGAGTGCAGGCCACTTTACTGAGAGATAATGTCAGTGAGCAGCCTGAGGTTGGAGGATGAATGGCCACTGATGGCACCCACAGCCCCTATCTTTAGTGAGTGCATCTGCAGATTCCAGGAGTAATTGCAGCTCCTTACAGTTTCTTGTAAGCAGAGGCACTAACAGAGGACCCACCCTCCTTCTCCTGCTTTCTGAGCACGCCCCACTCCAGAACGGAGTCATTTCAAATAAACCTGCTTCTCTCACTGTGCTCTGTGGTTCACCAAAATTCTTTCCTGCACAACATCCAAGAACCCCTCTTGGGGTCTGGATTGGGACCCTCTTTCCCAGCAATATTGTAGCCCCTCCTCGTTTTGCATTCAATTGATTTGCAAGAGTGGCTCAGGGAAGTCAGGGAAATACATTTGCAGATAATTATAAAGGGATACACATGAGAGGCACCGGGCATGGTCTCCGGGAAGGGGTGGGGAGCTTCCATGCCGCCCACGTGGCCCCTCCAGGACCCCTCTGTGCTCAGCATTCCTACCCCCAGGGTCTGGGACGAATCTTCTCTGAATGACCATCTTGGGGCCCATGATCAGAAAGGAGGGGGAGGACTGGAGTCCTGCCTTGGGGCAGGAGCCATCACAGACATTCCATTTCTACCCATAACTGTAACAAGGACCAGGGAGTCCCCAGTCAGAAACCTGGCCGAACGCCAACTCTACCCATGCATCTACTTCCTTCTTACAGAGCAGCCCTCCTGCTCACACGCCACTCCCTCCTCCTCACATGGCACTCCCTCCTTCTCACACGCCACTCCCTCCTCCTCACATGCCACTCCCTCCTCCTCACACAGGACTCCCTCCTCCTCACACTGCACTCCCTCCTCCTCACACAGTGGGTATGGCCTCTGGAAGGTAGGAAATACAGCTGGCGCACGTGCTCCTCTCCAGGGACCTCCTTCTGTGCTCAGCACCTTGGCTTCCCCAGGGTCTGGGACTTCCACCTTCTCTGAATGATCATCTTGGGGCCCATGATCAGAAAGGGAGGGGAGGATCCCCTGCCTTGGGCAGGAGCTATCACTAGACATTCTATTTTTACCATAATTGTAATAAGGACTCAGGAGTCTCTAGTCAGAAACCTGGCCGACCGCTGCACTTACCTATGCATTTACTTTTCTATAGAGTAGCTTTCTTTCCTTGTTTTATACGCTTACTTTTTCCCTTTTACATGGTAATTTCCTTTCACGTCGCTACTTTTATATAGCATTTCCTTTCCTTTCCCACATAATAGGATTTCCTTCCTTCACATTGTAGATTTCTTTCTTTTCTTTACATAGTACTTCCTTTCTTCACGCCACTTCCTTCCTTCTCATATGTTATTTTTCTTTTCCTTACTATTAGATTTCCCTTTTCCTTTTTTACATTGCATTTCTTTCTTCTTTACATAGTATTTTCTTTTCTTGTTACTGCATTTCTTCTTTTTACATTTACATTCATATATTTCTTTACACGCTTTACTTCTTTTTCTTTACGTTACTTTTCTTACATTGCATTTCACATAGGATTTCCTTCTTCATATCGTACTTTCTTCCCTTCTCATATAGGATTTCTTTCTTCTTACATAGTATTTCCTTTCCTTCATGTTACTCTTTTCTTCTTCTCACTGTATTTCCTTCCTTCACACGCTTACTTCCTTCCTTACATAGTACTCTTTCCTTCACATAGTATTTCCTTTCCTTTTCATATGGTACTTCTTTTCTTCCTTTACATTGGGTATTTCCTTTCTTTCTTCTCACATTGCATTTCCTTTCTTTACTGTATTTCTTTCCTTTCTTTAAGGCATTCTTCTTTACATATATTAGTACTTCCTTCTTTACATTGACTTCCTTTTTTCTTTTCTTATATTTGTATTTTTCCTTTACATTGTATTTCCTTTCTTCATATGTTACTTCCTTCTTACATTTGTAATTTCCTTTCCTTCTTTACATTGCATTCTTTCTTTACATGCATTTCTTCACACGCTTACTTTTCTTTCCTTCCTTTACATTGTAGACTTCCTTCCTTCACGCACTTCCTTTTCATATGGTACTTCCTTTCCTTTCCTTACATTTAATTTCTTTCTTTACATTTATTTCCTTTCTTCTTACATTGTGATTTCCTTTTTTCATATATTTTCTTCTTTATGTTAGCATTTCTTTCTTCTTTACATAGGGATTTCCTTTCTTTTCTTTCTTACATGCCATTTTCTTTTTCTTTCTTTTCTTTTGCAAAACATTATTTTTACATTGCTGCATTTCTTCTTTACATTTACTTTTCTTTACATTTAGATTCTTCTTTACATTGCATTTTCCTTCATATTATACTTCTTTCATTTGTACTTCCTTTCCCTTCATAATAATAGCATTTCTTCTCACGTAATTTCCCTTTCTCACACGTACTTCACATAGGATTTCTTTTCCTTTACATAGGAGCCTTTTCTTTTCACATATAGGGATTTTCCTTCTTTTTACATATTAGGATTTCTTTCTTCACATAGGATTTCCTTCCTTCCTTTACACGTTACTTCCTTTCCTTTCATAGTATTTCCTTCCCCTTCTTTACATAGTATTTCTTCTTCTCACATTGCATTTCCTTTCCTTCTTCTCACAATAGGATTTCCTTTTCTTTTTTTCTTTACATAGGATTTCTTTTCTTCCTTTTTACATAGGATTTCTTTCCTTCATACTGTACTCCTTTCCTTACACGCTACTTTTCCTTTTACATAGGATTTTCTTTCTTTTCTTCACATAGGATTCTTTTCTTCTCACATTTACTCTCCCTCTATTATTAGGATTTCTTCCTTCTCTTTACATATTAGGATTTCTTTCTTCTTTACATTGCTATCTTTCCTTTCCTTTATAAGTATTTCTTTCATGCGATTTTACATTACATTTTTCATAGGATTTCTTTTTTACATAGGGATTTCTTTCTTCTTTACATAGGATTTCCTTTCCTTACACATGCTTCTT